AGATCTGTGCCCATCTGCCCTCTGCCCCTTTCCAGCCCTTTGTCCTGGGCAGGCAGGAGGGGGAGGTCTCTGTTTCTCTCTCTCTCTCTCTCACAAACACACACACAGACACACACACGTGCACACACTCGCTGTGCCATAGGATCCCATTTCTGCCACTCGCCAGCTATGTGACCCTGGGCAATTTACTTAATTTCTCCAGATTCTGGTTCTCCCATGGGTAAGAGGAGGTGTGTGAACCGATCACCGAGGACCTGGGGAGGGTCGTGTGGGCTAATGGAGCAAGTGGGCACCTGCCAGCTGGCATGAGGGTCCCCTGCTCCTTCGCTGGGTCAGCGGGCTGCACTGCCACCCCTCTCACCTGTACAGGATTCCCATGGATGCAGCAGCCTTGGGGGGCTGCCAATGTCCTCCTGGCCCCTCTGGCTTTGACCTTTTGCTTCTGCTGGCTCAGTGCAGGTGGGGGATGGACTGGCTGACCTGCCCAGGGCTGTTCTTGCTCATGTCAGCTCGGAGGGGGACTCATCTCCTTTCTCGACAGCCACCGCTGGAAACTCCTGCGTGTCTAGCAGGCTTTCCTGGGGGCTTGGCGGGGAGGGGCACTGACACTGCAGCCGTGCAAAGGGCTTCAACCCAAAGCCCCTGGCCTCGTCTGGAGGATTCTCCCCAGGTGCATCCCCTCCGTGAGACCCCGGACTCCTCCTTCTTGCAGTCTCTTCTCTCTCTAAACCTTCCAGCTCTTCTCCCTTCCTGCAGAACAACGCAGCCACTACCTCCACATGGGGCTCTAGGGCCACCTAGGCCTCTCCAAGCCCACTAAGGTGCCCATGGTGCTGCGGCTCAGGCTGCCCCATCGTGCATGGGAAGTCCAGTGTCTGGCCCATCCCTTCTCTGGCTGTCATTCCAAATCTCCTCCCTGTTTCACCCACAGTCAGCACTTCCAGACTTTTCCATCTGGTTCATGTCCTTTAGCCCTGGCACAGACCCGGTACCCAGTAGGTGATCAACAAATGCTTTTAGAATGTTGAAATTTGCTTTCTGCCATTGGTTTTCTCCTATGGTGGTTGGCTGTTCCCGGGGCAGCACTCCGTGGGGACCAGTGCTCCTGTCTGGGCCCGGTTCTCGGGACTTGAGGCCATAGCGCTGCTCGGAGAATGACTGGGGAACTGGGGACCCCACAGGGCAGAGGAGAGGGTCCTTCTCCATGCCCTGGAGGAATGTGCTCCAAGGAAGGTATCTTGGGCCGGGCCTCTCCCTCCTTTAGTAGGTGGAGCCACCCTGTCAGTTTGGAATCTGGAAACTCTTACAACTTTGGAGTCTTAGAATCTACACTCCTAACTAAGAGCCCAGATGCTGCCATTTATTAGCTGTGTGACCTTGAGCAAGTTACCTAACCTTTCTGTGCCAATGTAGCCTCATTTATAAAACAGTAGCAACAATTTTACAAGATTGTGATAGGGATTAAGTGCCTTACCATTTGTCAAGGGCTTAGGCTGGGGCCTGGCACAGATAAATGGTGTGTGAGCATTTGAGAAATAAATCGTGTGGATTCTGAAGATATTGGAATCTTTGTCTCTGTGCTCTTAGGGTCTTTAGGCCTGGAAGGAACCTCATGTCATGTCCTGGGGCAGGAATCCTGGCCCAGCCTCCTTTAGCTTGGCTGGCTTATTTATCCCCATTGAGGGATGCTTTCTATCTATTCAGCCACTACAAGTGTGAGAAAGTTCTGGGGGTGGGGTTGAGCCTGGGCCCAGCAGCTGCTGGAGTATGAGCAAGACCTGGTTGGGCTTTGTCCCTGGGTGAGGGCAGGGGAGGGGGGTCTGGGGAGGTGACAGAGAGCCTGGTCTGGCTGACAGGTGGGTGCACGAGGGGCCTCCAAGCCAGGGTCCACTTCGGCCCCCTCCTGGCAGGGCCCTGGCAAGCCCCTGCTCCCAGGACGTTGCGGGCCTAATGAGGGTGTGCGGCTGATGCAGTCTTCTGCAAATACCAGGCGCAATATAAATAGCAATAATGAATAAATGAAGCTCCTGCCGCCAGCGAGAGCCTCCAGGAGGGACCTCCCCAGCCTTGTTTTCTGCGGAGACTTGGTGTCGTGCTCCCATCCCCTAGCAGGTTTGAGCATTGCCCCTCAGCCTGCTTCTTTCTCGACGTTTAGTCTGTCTGCATCCTCCATGTCCACGGAAACTACCCCTATCCTAGAGGTGGCCTGGGGCGGCCGGAATAGTGACAGAGCAGATAACTAAGATTTTAGTTGAAGCATAGAGCATTTAGGTTAGATATAAAGCAGGACTTCCTGCCAGTGTGGATGTGGCCGGAATAGTGACAGAGCAGATAACTAAGATTTTAGTTGAAGCATAGAGCATTTAGGTTAGATATAAAGCAGGACTTCCTGCCAGTGTGGATGCTTGAAGGAGGCTGGTGAGGGATTGTTAGTGCTGCTGGGACAGGGAAGGAACTAGGGTCAAGGAGGGACAGATTTCTGCTCAAATATAAAAAGAAATTTGAGTGGTCAGAGATGCCCAGAGAGCAAAGGAGCTGCCCAAGAGGTGGTGAGACCTGCAGCACCCCAGGTATGCAAGCAGGGGCAGGATGGCCACTTCAGGAGGCTGTAGGTGAAGGGACCCAGACCTGAGAATTCACCATCTGGTGGCTTCCTAAGGTCCCGATGAACATTCTGAACTTTATGGCAGTGCTGCCAGAGGAGAGTGGGGAGGAAGCGAGCAGTGGCTGGTGTCTCCCCCTGCCCTGCTGCCTGATTTCTTTCACCCACCTGGCCTGGGGCCTTCCAGCTGTGCGCCCAGCAGCCCAGGGCAGAGCGTGCCTGCTGCAACGCCTGCCCCGCCTCGCTCCTGCTCCACGCCTTCCCCCTCCTGGCTGCCATTTCTCCACCCACCCCCTCTCCTCTTATCTCAATTCTGCATAAGCTTTCAAGGCCCAGTTCAAATCTCTTGCCTTTGATGAGGCATTCCCTGAAGACTAGGATCTGAAGCCCACTCTGATCTGAAACAAATCCATCTCACCCGAGGATGCTGTCTGGCCTGCTCAATTCACACCTACAAGACACCTCCTAGCCTCACGTGTGCTCACACGACCTTGCGTTGTGGTCTAGTTACAAAGGTTTGTCTTGTTTCCAGGATAGATTAAAAGCTAGGAAGGGACAAATATTTACTGAGCACCTACTATGTGCCAGACACATAGTACCTGGCCAGGTAATGTGTGCGCTAAGTCGTTTATACACTGTTCGTGTCCTGCAAAGTGTGAACTTTTACTCCCATTTCACAGATGGGGAACTTGAGGCTCAGAGATGTTAAGGGGCTTGCCCACACCCCTCAGTCAGGACGTGGCAGAGCTGGGATCGAACCTGACTGCACCTTCCTGGAAAGCAGTGCCTGTTTGCCAGAATAGGGGGCCCCAGAGCAGGCCTCAGCTCCCCCCAGGCCCCCAGTGCCATGCCCCACACCGAACATTCTCCAAGGAGGTGGAGAGGGCCGGCTAGTTGGCCCTGTGTGGATGGAGACACCTGGGCAGAGATTGGGAGCACCAGACTCACACTTGGAGTTGCTGCTTCACAGCTGAGTACCTGGCCGGGCAGCTCATCTTGGCCCCAGTTTCTTCATTAGTAGAATGGGGGCAAAAGGGGGACTCCAGGAGGTTTAAAGGGGTGCCTAGCACATAGTGGGAGCTCACTGAATGCTTCCCGAGTTGCAGGACAGTGAGTAGTCAATGTGACCTGCATCTGGGAGGGTCTAGATACCTTTAATTTGTTTGGCTGGATACAAGCGAACAAATACAAGGGGATTATAACCTTGGGCCCTCCTCCCTCCCCAATCCATGGTCCCTGGGTGAGGGAGAAAGGGCGGGCGGGTTGAGGGGCATGGAATTGGGGGACCTGGTGCTGCAGGAGCACAAGGAGAGGTTCCAGTTTCCTGGAGAAGGTTGACCTTTCAGGTCCTGTGGCCCAGGCTGCCCAGGGAAGGTGAGGCTGAGGCCTTTGCTGCTGGAGAGGGAGGTATCTGTTCCACCTGGGGGGCCTCCTGGAAGCCTTCCTGGAGGAGGTGGCTTTTCAGCCAAGCTTTGAAGGGTGAGAAGAAACAGGTGAGTGAATGAGAAGTGGGGAGGCAGCATGGGCTGTGGAGCGACCTTTGGAGTCAGGTTCTGGCTCAGCTCCACCATTTGAGAGCTGGTGGTGAGTGGCCCCTCACTGGGGCAGTGGTATAAACACCCGCGATCTCGCGTCAGATTCCAGAGTGTAAGGTGGCCGGGCAGGCACCTGGGACATGGGGGTGGTCAGTAATGGGACCTTCCTTTTTTACTCGTGACGCAGGACCCTCCCCCAGGCATGACCCTGAATTTTAAGGAGGTGACCGCAAGGCGGGGGGCTTCCTGCCCACTGGGGCGGGGAGGAGTGGGGGCTCACCAGCCGCCGCCGTCAGTCTGTCTGTCGCCTCCACGCCTCCCCCCTCCAGCGTCCCGCGCCTGCAGCTTTCCCCGAAGACATTTGGTGTCAGTATAAGGACGGCTTTTCCTCGCACGCGGCGCGGCTCGGTCTCGCCGCCGCCGCACGTCCCCGCACCGCCGGGCGCTCGGCCCTCCCGCCAGCCCCCCCGCCCGCCCCGACAGCCCCGGCTTCAGCCCCGGCGTTGTTGGGGAGTCGGGAGTGGCGGAGGACGCTGGCCCTGCCCCGCCCCCCGCCCCCGCCGTCCCTCCCGGGGCTTGCCCCGCCCTCAGGTCCGCAAACGACAGGCACACCCCGCCCCGCCCCGGCTCGGCCCGGAGCGCCGCGCGCGGCCCGCCCGGCCCGCCGCGCTCCAACTCCGGCTCGGTCCGCGGCTCGTCTGCGCTGCCCGCTCCTCGCCGCCGCCGGGAGCCTCGCCGCGGCCCGCCGCCGCGCCTCCGCCCTGGCCCGGCCCCGGCCCGCCACGCCCCGCCGCCCCGCGCGCCCCAGGGGCTCAGCTGATCCTGAACCGGCGGGGGCGCGGCTGGCGGGGCTGGGGGTCCCTCCGGATTGCCGGCTTCGGGGGACGCGTCGCCCCGCGTCTCCAACCTGGACGACCCCCCGCGGCCTGGCCCCGTCCATGCCAAGGTAGGTGGAGGTGGGGGTGCGGGTGCAGGGGCAGGGAGGGAGGGCTCAGCCCATGCCAGTTTCTTGGCGCGTTGGGTTCTTTCTTTACTGAGGCGTTTATTTATTTATTTCTGGGGACCGCTCCCCCCACCCGCGCGTGCCCAGCAGGTGGGCCCCCCATCCTGTGCCTTCGGGGCCATGCCTTGGGAGGGAGGACGGGAAACTTTGACCGGTCCCCTCTCCAAGGCCACGAAAGTTCTCTCGGTGCCAATACTGAAGCCGGGTGAGCCAGCGCTGCAGAAATTTATTCAACAAGTCAGGCTGCCAGCCAGGGGCCCAGGCTGGCTGTCTGTCCGTCCATCCTGCTGCCCCTCTGCCGCCGCAGCTCTGCAGGCGGCCAGCGGGACCAGAGCTGGAGCTGGTGTCCGGCGGCTGAGCCGGGAGTGTTGGCGGGGGAGGCGGCAGCAGGGGCATTGTGCGGGGGAATCCCAGGCAGGGCGTAACTTTGCTCGAGGCCTGGGTGGGAGAGGGCCCCCCTTGGCCAGTACCCCAGCCCCTGGCCAAGGCCAAGCAGCAGGAAGCCAGGCCAGGGTCGGAGCTGGGACTCTAGGGGGTAAAGGGAGCCCTCAGCAGCTGAGATGGTTATATAATGAGTGTTTATGATGATTGGGTGTTAATTGTCTGCTGGGTGGTATGTGTGGGGGATGTGGGGACCAAGAGGGCCTGGCCGGGGGTGGGGAGGCCCTTTTGGGGGAGGTCATGGTGCCTGAGGAGGGGCCCTTGGACAGGCCCGGCTGAGACATCGTGGGCTAGCCCCTCTGCTGTGTCTTCCTTCCCCGTTATGGTCCTGGGGGCTCCTGAGCCTTAGATGAGACTGGGGTCTGAGGAGACCCCTGAGACATGCTCTGCCCTGGGAGTCTGTGTTGTGGCGCCAGGGGTGTGAGTGTGTGTGTGTGTGTGTGAGAGCGAGCGCGGGCGCACACTCGAGTGGGCCTGCGTGTGTCTGCGTGTGTGGTGTGATGGGTTCTGACACGCCATGTGCGGAGTGTCCTCGGCTGGAGCGCCCGGCTTGGCAGGAGCAGGCTGCCAGTCTGTCCTTCCGTCTCTCGCTGCCACCGGCACCGCTAGGGGCGAGGAGGCTGCGCACACAGGCCAGGGTCGTGGGCTGGCCGGGAAGGATTTGGCCCGGGGATTTGGGCCTGCCTCCCGCACTGCTGCTCAGGCCCTGCTCACTCCAGTCGTCTGGACCAAAGGCTCCCTCGGCCCTGCTGGCCTCGGAAACTCTTGTCCACCCTTCCCTACAAACTTTCTGTGCAGCCTCCAGGATCAGGCCGGGGTGGGGAGTGGGCAGGAGTCTAGAGACCTCCCCTTTCCTTCCCTCCTCCACCGCCATCACTGAGGTGGGAGGGAGGGGCCAGGGGCGACAGGTCAGGACAGGACGGTGACACTGGGCAGGGACCAAGTCTGGAGCTGCAGCGGGGGGAGGAGGAGGGAATGGGAAGAGCATGTCCTGGGGGTGTTGTGCTGACCTGGCATGAAACGATGAACCTCCCCACACCCCCAGAGGGTCCGGGTGTCACCGTGTCCTCTGCTCTCTCCATTCCTGGCTTCTCAGAGCTGCCATGCCTGCCCGGGCGCCAGGATGGCAGGCTTGGGGAAGGGGCTGCAGGCCCGTCTGAAGTCCCCTCCCCTTCCCTTTGGCCAAGGTCGTCTGTCCCCTTCTCCCCATTCCTGCCCACCCACCTGGCATGCCCTGCCCCTCCCCCACCCCATGCCAGGCGCTTCTCAGAGGGTTGGGGCTGAGAGGGCATCTTCTGGGCCCACCAGGGGGCGCCAGGTAGTCCTCCAGCCCCTGCTGACTCCCGTTGACCTTGGGTGGGGAGGTGGGGGTAGAGGTTGCTGCGAGAACCCCCTCCTCTCCCACCCTCTCTGGCTGGCTCCAGGCGGCCTGCCCTGGTGAGCCCACAGCCAGGCGGGGAGCAGGTTCCCGAACAGCCGAGATTGCAGCCGATCCAGCGCTCTGTGGTGCTGGACCCAGATCCCCACCCTGGGCCCTCGGGTTGCCACCTCCGACCCCCACCCCCGTCCCCTGCATCAGGCCCGGCTCCCCTGTCCTCTCTGCCACCTCCACCTCACTCCCCAAGTGTGGCCTCCTTCCCAGGCCAGCCAGTTTGGGCACCACTCTGTCCCTCCCCCACCCCCGGGGCTCCCACCCCCAGCAGTTCCCAGCACTTTCCAAGGTAACACGTCTGTCTCCTCCCCGGCTGCCTTCTTCTCTGGTTCCCCAGCCCCCAGCTCAGGGTGCTCAAAAACTGTCTGGAAAGGGGGAACGCCAGGCTGGGCACGGGGGTCCAGAGAGACCCCTCTGGGCTGCAGGGAGAGCAGGGCTCCCGCCCCGCACCCCTCCCCTGCCCTGCCCCTCCCCCTCTGACTCCTCCCTCCCTCCTGTTCTTTTCTGCAGGACGTTTTCTTCCCACACGTCCCCAGGATGCATCCCTACCTTAATGCCCCAGTCAGCGCTGTGTCCCCAGGAGTCCTGGGGCTGGGCTGGGGACTCGGAGAGCCCAGGGGCCGCCTGTGCCCTGCACCCTGTGGGAGCGCGGTCTGTGGCCCTCTGGATGTCTGAGTGTGGGGTCTGTGGGTGAGTCTGGAGGAGGGGGCTCCTGGGCCCGTGGGTCCTCCGCCTGCGGATCCACAGGGGCTCCAGATCTGTGGCCTGTGGCTCCCGGTAGCCTGGAAGATGTGGGCCGAGTCTCTCCCCCCGCGCTGCTGCCACTCTACGGAGGGAAGAAAGCAAATCCGATTTTGTGATTTCCTTTTCTCCCTTTCTCGCTTATATTTATTCAGCATCTACTGTGTTCCAAGCCCTGTTCTGGTCACGGGGGGACACAGCAGTGAACGGAAGGGAACAGACAAAATTGCCCTCTTGGAGTGTCTGCGCCTGTGGGAGAGGCCCGGGCCTCCCTGGCCAGGTGCCCTGCGGGGACATGGTGGCAAGTCCTCATTTCCTCCCGTGCTCGGGGAGCGGAGCACCCCGGCTGTGTTTGACCCGCGAGGGTGCGGCTTGTGGAGGCCTTGGCACGCGGTGTTGGGACACCCTTGAGCAGGTGCTGGGGGCTCTGGGGGCTTCCTGAGCGGGAGAGGCTGAGAAGGGGGTGGTTTCCTGGGACTGAGGTTCTGTGGAGGCCACCGTCTCTTCGGGGCCAGGTCCAGTGCGGACACGGTCCTGCCTCGCACGCCTTCCACCGTCACTTCCGAGACTGCCTCTGCCAACTGCCCCCTTCTCCTGGACTCTGGCTGGAGCCATCTGGCTAATGGGGCACTTTCAGAAGAGCCTTGGGGTCTTCCCTCTTGCCCTGTTGGGCACCTGGGGCTGCATCCTGCCCTCCGTTGGTCCTGGGACTCAGGCCCCATCTCTGGACTGCTTGGCTCTTGTCCCGGGGGCTGGGGGAGAGATGAGCAAGTCTGTGACCATGGCCCAGAGGAGCAAGTCACTTAGCATCACAGGAGCACCAGCTTCTTATAAAATTGTAATAATACCTCCTACCTTAAAGGGTTTTTGGAGGCTTGGAAGTGCTTCTGCAGTGCCAAGCAGGGGCCTCGTACAGTGAAGCTGTTTCCCTTTCCTTAAGATACTTTCCGAATCCCCCGTTTCTTATCTTGTTTTTGAGGGAGAAAAGGCACTGCCTTCTGTGTTTTATACAAGAGGAGTTGGAGCTTGGCCAGCTGTGGAACACGGTGAGGGCAGAGTTGGTCCTTGAGCCCGGGCCCTGGGTCTCCGGACCCGTGCTCCCCCGATGCCTTGGCTGCAGTGAGACCCGAGGCCCTAATTACCTAATTACCACAGAGTGAGCAGAACCTGATCAGCGGGCGCCTGCCGGGAGATGGATTCACACACAGCCTCGCTTGCTGGCACATGTCATAAGGCCGAGACTGGCTGGAAACAAATGACAGTGCCTAGGGACACACTGAACAGGGCAGGGGGCAGGTGGCTGCAACCTCCTGTTAAAGGACAGCCCTTTAACTGTGACCTGGAGTCGTACTGCCTGGATCCAAATTCCAGCTCTTTCACTAAGTAGCTCTAGACCTTGCCAAAGTCCCCTAACCTCTCTGTGCCTCAGTTTCCTCACCTGTAAAGTGGAGAGAGTGAAAGCACTTACTTCTCCGGGTTGCAGCAAAGTGTCTGGCCATAGTAAGTGCTCACCAATAATGTTGGCTGTGAGTCTGCTTAGCCTCACGGCTCGTGGTGCGGGTCCAATTCACCCGCAAAGCTGGGAGGACTAGCTGTTGATTTTGGTGACAGGTCCAAGATGAATGTAAGATGTGGGCAGGTTCACCTGGCCAGACCAGAGCAGGTTTTGTGTCATGTCATGCAAATGGGGGTCAAACTTCAGCCATTCCTCTTTGGGTCAAGGAGCCCTGGCTTGGCTCAAGTTCTCTGAAGAAGATCTGAAGGGATTGGTGAACCACATGCCACTCGAGTGACAGTCTGATTGCATTGCCAGCTGGGCTCTGGGGCTCTCAGTCTGCATCAGCAGAGGCCCCACCTGCAAAATCAGCCCTGTCTGCTCTGCTCTGGGTTGCTTGGTGTGATTCTGGTCCTGCCCATGCAGAGGAAAGTGGGCAAACCCGAGCATGACTGAGGAGGGGTCCCAGGGAGGAAAACGATCTGGAAATTGTCACCCAAGGAATGGTTGAGGGAGCTGGTGACAAGAGGCCTGGGGCAGATGAGGCTCAGGGGTGGGCGGGCTGTCGTCATGCATCTGCAGGGCTGTCATGCGGAAGAGGGAGCAGACTGAGGGTTCCAGGGCTCTGGGATGCCGGCTGGAAGATTCTGGGAGGCAGGTTTCCCAAAGCCTCACAAAGGCTTTTCTGCAGATCACCAGATGCAGGCTCTGCATTGGGTTGTGTGTGTGTGTGAGTGTATATTGTCTCTGTGTGTGATTGTGTATGTTATCTGTGTATGTCTGTGTGCAAGTGTGTGACTGTATGTACGTGTGAATGCACCGCTATGTTTGTTG